CCTACCACCCCTCCTCCCACCCCACCCCCATTCAAAAACCACTCCTACCCCAACGCACCATCCATCACTCCCCTTCCTCCCCCCCTCCAACCACCCCTCCTCCCCGCCATCAGCTGACCCCAAGATCTCCGTGGACCCTTCAGTCACAGCCAACCAGGGGGACGCCCAGCTGGTCATCCGCTGTGACGTCACCATGTTCCCACCCGCCTCCTCCCTGCTTTGGTTCAAGGTCAGTCTTTTACTTTCACTTTACTTTTACTTTACTTTTACTTTTATCCTCCGCTTATACCATGTTGGGTGTCGAGGGAAGAAAGAGACGTCTCTCTGCCACCAGCCGGAGAGCTTGGGTCAGGGGGATGCCGTGGGTGGTTAATGTTTCCCGGACTCCCTCTATCCAAGTCTTTCTGAGTCGCCCTCTAGGTGCATGTGTGTGTGTGCGTGTGTGTGTGTTTGTGCGTATGTGTGTGTGTGTGTGTGTGTTTGTGCGTATGTGTGTGTTTGTGGGTGTGTGTGTGTGTTTGTGCGTATGTGTGTGTTTGTTTTGTCTGAAATCTCACAAAAACTTATACTTTGGGAAGGATATTGCATCACTTACATTCGGCGATCTTACTAAGATTTGGTGTCGGGTTCAACACAGTTTTTCATTTTGATTTCACACACTAAAAACAACAACAACAACGACAGCAACAACAACAAAAACAACGACACAATAACAACAACTTCAATACTAACATCAACGACAACAACAATAACAACAACAATGGCATCAATAACAACACAACAATAACAACAACGACGACGACGACGATGACAGCAACACCATCATCATCACCAACAACAACAACAACAATACTTCTGGAGTGAACACTTTTCTCTTCTCACCCGCCACGGTTTGAACACAAGCTCGATATTGCACCTAATAGTAATATCCTTTTTATTTTAAAGATTAAACATTCTCTAATTTTACCTTTTTATCATTTTTCTTTTATATAAGTTTTCATTTATATAATCTGTACCAAGTTGTCGTATGAAATTGGTCATGATTTTGGTATAAGACATTAACCTTTCTTCAAATCTGTGCTCTCTATGAGCTGGATTTGTTTTTATACACATCTGACACAATTTAGTGGCAAGGATACTAATTGGTACAATGAAATAATGTGTAGTAGAAGCAAATAGAAGATTCTGATGATTCAAAATGTGATAAACGTTATCATGATTGATAAATAGAAAGTGAGTTGGTGGTAGAACTTAAAGTTTATCCCCCCCCCCTCCCACCCCAAGTCCATTCGGAGTTTATTTGACCAAGAATGTCTGTCTGGTGTCTTCACTCTTAGAGGGGTCACATCTGGGTCACCTTTGTCTGTCTGTCTGTCTGTCTGTCTGTCT